TGTTACTTGTGACCTTTTCCCCGTGACTTTTTTCCCGTTACTTGTGACCTTTTTCCTGTGACCTTTTTCCCGTGACTTTTTTCCTGTTACTTGTGACCTTTTTCCTGTGACTTTTTTCCTGTGACCTTTTTCCTGTGACTTTTTTCCTGTGACCTTTTTCCTGTGACTTTTTTCCTGTTACTTGTGACCTTTTTCCTGTGACTTTTTTCCCGTGACCTTTTTCCTGTGACTTTTTTCCTGTTACTTGTGACCTTTTTCTTGTGACTTTTTTCCTGTGACCTTTTTCCCGTGACTTTTTTCCTGTTACTTGTGACCTTTTTCCTGTGACCTTTTTCCCGTGACTTTTTCCTGTTACTTGTGACCTTTTTCCTGTGACTTTTTTCCTGTGACCTTTTTCCTGTGACTTTTTTCCTGTTACTTGTGACCTTTTCCTGTGACCTTTTTCCTGTGACTTTTTTCCTGTTACTTGTGACCTTTTTCCTGTGACTTTTTTCCTGTGACCTTTTTCCCGTGACTTTTTTCCTGTTACTTGTGACCTTTTTCCTGTGACTTTTTTCCTGTGACCTTTTTCCCGTGACTTTTTTCCTGTGACTTTTTTCCTGTGACCTTTTTCCCCTTGACTTTTTCCTGTTACTTGTGACCTTTTCCCTGTGACTTTTTTCCTGTGACCTTTTTCCCGTGACTTTTTTCCTGTTACTTGTGACCTTTTTCCTGTGACCTTTTTCCTGTGACCTTTTTCCCGTGACTTTTTTCCTGTGACTTTTTTCCTGTGACCTTTTTCCCGTGCCTTTTTTCCTGTTACTTGTGACCTTTTTCCCGTGACTTTTTTCCTACAATCTACCAAATAAGGATGTGGTGTAGTCGTGTAAGCTCACACTTGTTCACAACCCCGGTAATGTTTATATGCAATCAGGATGCGCACTGACTAAGAACGTCACAGTAAAAAAAAAAAAAAAAAAAAGATATTTAATTTTATTTGCTTTATTTAACACAAAAATTGTATGAGTAATTCGTATGTAGTAGTGTAAACTCACACTTGTTTACAACCCCGGTAATGTTTATATGAAATAAGGATGCGCACTGACTAAGAACGTAAAAGTAAAAAAAAAAAAAAAAAAGATATTTAATTTTATTTGCTTTATTTAACACAAAAATTGTATGAGTAATTCGTTTTTTTTTTAATAGTTAATATCATAATATAAATTTCTTTCATTGAGATAAAAATACGCAGCTGATGCAATAGTTGGAGTCATACGATTCATTGGATTGTGTAGCTCAGTGGTTCTCAAACTTGTTCAGGCAACCGCCCCATTGTGACTTATCATTGGCTCCATCCTGTAAGACAGGCTGTCTTTATGGTAGGGTAAAAAAAAAAAAAGTCACAGAAAAAAAATTCACGGGGGAAGACGGGTACAGATGTTAGACGGGTACAGATGTTAGACGGTACAGACGGGTACAGATGCTAGACGGAACAGACGGGTACAGATGTTAGACGGTACAGACGGGTACAGATCTTAGACGGAACAGACGGGTACAGATGTTAGACGGGTACAGATGTTAGACGGTACAGTAGGGTACAGACGCTAACGCTCAGAGACTTTCCTCCAGGTTTCGCTTCCCTATTGAGCGTTAGCAGTTACACTCCGCCTTGGATTGGCGCCCAGGTGCGAAAAGTCACAGCGATGGTAAGCGAAGCCAAACAGCTGTCAGCCCTGGACGTTACGCGACAATTACGTCGGGCCAGGTGGACATCTCCTGTTGATCATGGTGGGTAGAGGGGCTTGGTCCAGCCAACATAATTGTTGTACGGTACGTACTTAACATGTATTCTGGAATGGCCAGTGTTGTGAGAAAGGGGAGTCTAAGTATAACTTTGAATGGACTTATTTAAGTTGATGTTGGGGCGCGGATGAGAGGGTCAGTATGGAGAGCGTCTTGGGCAGCAGCAGACGGTCTGAGAGTGTTGTCACGGTCAGTCAAGAGTTAACATCAGCTGAAGAAGGTACTTAATGTTGTATGTAAAGTAAAAGTGTAAATAAAGAATTGTTGATGGACTTGTCTTATCACTGAGAGCAGAGAATGGGGGTTTGTCATGTAATGACTTAAATCTATTAATAAAACATCCGGGCGTACAGTCGGGCCAATCTCATTAAGATGTGAATAAAACATCCTGGCATTCCATTTGGCCATGCTCTCAACTTCTCTTCTGTACTTCTACGTTAATGTGAGCCAGTGTGGTGGGTCTTAACCTAGACGAAAACGTGTTGACAACTTTATTTCACCACGAACTATTTTACGAACAAATTGTAACTGCTATATATATGTTATATATATATATAGAGAGAGAAAAACATCGTTAGATGCTATGTTTTACGAAAACATTGTCTAAAAATAGTGACATTACGTAAAGCGATGTGACGTTTTCCGGTATTAGAAATGAGAAACCCTATTAGCAAGAGCAGGGCCGGGGCTAAGGTATGGCGAAGTGGGCGACCGCCCAATGTTGCCGTATTATATATATATTTTATTATTTATTTTTTTTGCTTGTTTCCAGATTACAAATGGCTCATTCAGCCTCGTGTTTTCGTTATTTGTTTTTCACAACCTTGATATTGGTAACAAATGGAGCCGCGATGAGTAATTTGGGCGCCAGGGCAATTAACTGTTATAGGGAAAAAAATGAAATTTCGGAAACTAAGCGAGTGAACAAATATCCGTTATGACGCGTCCGATTATGACCAGTAACGCCCCAGTACGACCGAGTGCCCCGAATTAAGCTGGTGTCACGGTTTGGGGGATGGTCTTATTAAGCCCCTACACAGAAATATTTTTGATAAATTCAAAATGACGAGATGCATTTTAGCGTCATACATGGATTTAGTCTTTCATTCACCATTCTACACTTATCCGGTGACCAACAGAAAAGATGCTACTTGAAATGTAGGTTCCCTTGACCATGCATGGGTTGCATAATTCCTTTTTATTTTTAGTTTTATCTAAATAGTAATGTTGTTTCATAATTTTATTTTGAAACTTTTTATTTGTTTAAACTTCTTCAGCAATGAATGAATTCTAAAATTACTAACACATATTTTTGTTCAAAATATTTGTTCGTTAGAAGAAAAAAAACAAACAATTTTTTTATATTCGTATCATAATTACCATTTTGCAATTATTCAAAAATAGTTTTTTTTCAAAATATAGTTTCAAAAAAGAGAAAAAATATTGTTTGTAGAAAGTCTATATATTTTGTATCGCTATTTAAACAAGTCATTTAAAAAAATACAATGTATAATATGAATGGTATAAAAAGGGAAGATAGAAAATATGGACCAAAGGCATAAAATATTAAAAGCATTGCTTTGCAATTGATTTATTTGAGGGAAGATGATGCAGTATAGATGTCCACATAAATGTAGTAGGCCTTAATTAAAATTTTTATTTGCAATTTCTAACTATTCTGATTCTGATAGACCACGTCTAATACGTTGCTGCAACCAAGTCAAGTCATATGAGCAATGGTTTGGGAAAGGGAAACGATGCGGCCATCCTAACCGCTCCTAGCGGGTGCCAGTGCCAGGGCAGCCTTGAAACTCTCGACTGATGTCGAGTCCACGGCGGCATTGTCCAGTTGGTTCCCAGCAATTATTGTTCATGAGAAGGATGATTGTTTATTATTACTTTCTTCATTTAAATTACTAAATAATGAACTTATTGCGCCTTTTTTACGACTCTTTGGATTTACCCTTCTGCACCTGGACCGTGGACCACCTACTTCCCACGACCAAATTTTTTTTTTTTTTTTTTTTAAAAAAAAATAATAATATTTATCTTTGGTTTTTTTTTTTAAAATTTCAATTTTTAACAAAAGAATTTTTTTTCTAAAAATAGTACCCAAAAAATGAAATGATGTGAATATCGAAAAACTTGTTAAAAAAATATTGAGAAACTGTTTTCCCGTTGCATTTTGAAATCAAATTAAATTGGGGGAAAAACAACAACAACAACAAAAAACATGCAATATTCCTTTACAATAAAGGCAGCATAATGTCGCTAAAAGCGTGGGGGGGGGGGCTAGTCATGTGATGTTCCTAAGAGGTGTGAGACCCCAAGAAGGATGAGGACCCCCTAGAGGCGTAAGGCCCTGGACAAGTGCCTAGTATGCCCATGCCTTAAGACGGCACTGGGCAGGGCCTTGAAGGGCCTGGCGAAGATGTCAAGGTGGCAGGTGCACTCTGTCCAGGGGCGAACATTAATAAAGGGGGATGCGCTAAATTATCTTTAGGTAGACCACTAATTCAACTATTTCCAGAGTTCTTTTAATTCAAAGTATGGTTAAAAATACTTTTTAGGTCCACATTTCAATCAAGCTACTATACTGTGCCCTCGATTATAATAAATTATTATATTTGATTAATGGATAACAATTATTTTAGAATTGCCCCTCTTCGGAGTCTGGGAATCCAAGCCTACTATTTATTTATTTTTAATTGAAAAAATATTTACCTCTCTTCACTCTAATTTTCTTTCTTTTTTTTTTTTTTTTTTTTTTTACACGAGACTTCATTCAGATTCAGATCGTTACGCCACTTTGGTCTTGGCCTCGTATCAATCGCTTCTGCTACGGCTATTTGTTGTTTTGTAATACTTATTTTTTTTTTTTTTTTTTTTTATATTTTTTCCCCCCCTACCCTTTATTTTTTTTCTTTTTTTTTTTTTTTTTTTATCTTACACGAGACTTCATTCAGATTCAGATCGTTACGCCACTTTGGTCTTGGCCTCGTATCAATCGCTACTGCTACGGCTATTTGTAGTTTAGTAATACTTCTAAGGAGTCTTAATTATGTAACGATGGCTGATGAGGCTTTGTTTCACATCTTAAATTTTTATAGATGACCGATCAGCGTCATTAAGATTAGACTTAAATGAACTCAAGGTTAACAGGTGCTTTAAGAAAGCAAAAGATATTATTATTAAAGGGGACTTAACTGCTACTTGATTCTTCTAACAAAAGATGGCGACTTCAAGAGGTAGTTGTCTTGTCGTCATAAGCTCTGCAGTTGAAGGTATGGCCGACACTCATTACAAATTATTATTATCCATGCCGATTTCGATTAATACATATTAAAGCTTTAGAAGAGCTCTCTGTTGAGGTATTTTTTTCCAAATTGTCCTGGTTTTGACTTATTTCAGGATGAGGGGGCGTGGCAATACTATTATTATTATAATAATATTAATAATAATATTATTGAATTGTAATTGTCTATATACTGAAATACTGTTTGTGTTACTACTTCTACTACTACTCTACTAGTGTTACTGTTAACTTAGTAAAGTATTCACCACTATTAGACATTAGAGTATTAGTATTGGTGTCATTATTCAACTCATTACTAATACTAATTACTAAGATTACTATACTATATTATTATATTAGTATTAGTATCATTAATGACTATTCGTACCCGGGTACCAGAAGTGAGAGGTTGGTATTAAAAAACTATTTAAAATATTATTGTTGGGTTTGTAAGACAAAATGATGTATCAAATGAAAGATAATTGAATTGACTATATTATTATATTATGTTTGTTAACTTACTTGTCTTCAGTTTAACTGAAATAAACTACCACAAATGACATCCGAATAGCATTGGTCTAATGGGACCCGGGTGCGAATGGCAGCACTGCATGTCCGGGGCCATTTTGACTAAATACCACCCCATGCCATGTCACAAACTGTTACACTTCTGTTAGACCGCCTACCCCCTCTGGAGCTTGATATACTTTATGGACGGCACCATAGTACGTAGGCTATAAATTGTAGGCTTACATTTTTATTAGGCCTACTAATTGCTTTTAGTAATTTAAAGCTACATAAAAATCTTAAGTGCCATTGGGTTACACATATTATTTATCTAGTAATGTAGTTCATGCTTAAAATAATTAGGAATCATTCATTGCTACAATTTTCATTCCATTTACTTTTATTGACTTATTGCCTGTCCTTGACCACGTTCATTAATGATGTGATTGTAATTATCTTGTATTTACCATCAAGTGAGGTATTTCTGCTTCCGTTCAGTTGAAAAAACAAAAACATTTTAGCTATATTCTATCTTAAATCAAACACACATTTTACAATGACTGTGAGAGGGAGGGCATGACATACACATGCTGTAGGATGCTACTCTATTTTAATGCCGCATTTCTCAACCTTTTGATAGAGCATTGACCCAATCACAGTGAAAATAATAACATATGCAAGTTGTGGGTGATCCAAAGCCAGAATTTTTCCTAAAAATTGAGAAACTGATATTGAGAAGTTAAAGAGGATTGGTATTAACTATTCATTTTTTTTATTAAATTGCCAATATTTTATAAGCCCAATGTATAGTTTTTAAGCAGAAAAAATAAAATGACAAGAATACAGAGGAAAAAAGTCATAATTATATAAAATCTGAATAATTTAAAATAAAAGGAGATGGCCTGATCAATGTTTTATAATTAATTTTGGTACCACATCTACTGTATGATTTATTGTTTGTTATGCAGCTGTAGTGAGGTGACAATAATAAACCACTGATTCACTGCAGTGTAGTGACAATAATAAACATCACTCTGTAACTAATATTTGAATTTTAAAATGAAACTGGAAAAGGGGAACAAATAAGATTAGGAAGCACGTGTTGTTTTTTTTAAACACCCCCCCCCCCCCCCAAAAAAATTATGACATTCATGAGCTACCCCGTAGCAAAGTATAAAGCCACCCCAAGGGGTCATCACCCACAGGGTGAAAACCACTGTTTAATGAAATACTAATGGAAGCAGCACTAAGTGACAAAGGCATGGCAAATGATTTAGTTGAGAAAAATTTAAGAAAAGGAACCAGTTTTGACTGTAAGAATTTGCTTTCTTAATCCCCCAGTCACTCACAAGGAACTGATCTCAACTATCCCACTGGCAAGGGATAAATGGGGTTGGTTAAACAAGTTGTTGTTGACCATTATTTGAGTTTTTATACTGTGTACATGTTTTTGAGTCAGTCTTCAACTAAGCCACCTAAATTCGTTACTACAAAGCAATTTTTTAACACATCTTCAGCATAAACTATTCTTTAGTTCAACGTTTTTTACTAGTTATAAAAATGTTTTCATGTTCTTGCTCTCAATGTAATCTGCAGGTGTCTCAGCTGCCTCTTTTATGCAAGCATGTACTCTGGTCAACCAAAGTTTTGCTATTCAGTTGGCATCCCCAGGGGTACTGTTTTAACATTTATTTTAATATAAAAAGCAACTACTTTTAAATTAATGCAAAAGGTAAATAAATAGCTGATTTTTTAATAATTTTTTTTTAAATAATTAAAAATTTGAGTTCATACTTATTTCAGTGATGGGTCAAATATGTGTAGTGAAATTGGAAACATTTTTTTTTACTTCCCATGCAATCCTTTTTTTAAATATTTATTATACACTTTGCAGGGTCGACAAGCAGAGTATATAAATCAAGATGATTCAAACAGAAGATGGTTCAATGAATTTCGATCCAAAGCTAGCTCAACACCTATAGGCTTAGAGACTGTTGATGGTAAGATGTCCTTGTTTTTAATGTCTTTAGACTGTATAAATAGTTTTATCTAAATATTTAAAGATGCATATTTTTCATTAACGTGAGAAGTATCAAAGTAAACATGTTTGAAACAACAACACATATTTGTTTAATCATATGTTTATTATCAGGCTAAACATGAATTGAAAAACTAAATTGCTTTTGCATGTTCCAATCAAAATGATTTGATGAATAAACTGGTCATCCATCCATCCCTGTGGTTCTACAGCCCATGTAGGGCTTTGGCCTGCCTCAATACTTCGACTTAACTAATACTTTTCTTTTCCATGTTTAGATTCCCAGTTGTTGTAGATTTTTTCCACACCATTCATCCATATAAGCCTAGGTCTACCTCTGAGCCGTTTTCCTCTGGGGTTTTGGTGGTGCACCCTCTTCACTCCTCTGTCATTTGGCATTCTCTCTAGGTGTCCTGCCCAGCGTAGCCTGCCCTTTTTTATTTCTGCTACTGTCGTGGGATCCTGATATAGACTGTACAATTCATGGTTGGTTGGTATTCTCCATCCATATTCATCCTTAGTTGGTCCATATATTTTCCTGAGAACTTTTCTCTCCCATGTGTTTAATAAGTTTTCTGTCGTTTTTGTTAGGGTCCAAGTTTCACTTGCATTTGTTACAACTGGTCTGATTAGAGTTTTATAAATAATTTACTTTGTTTCTCTTGTAATGTTTTTACTTTTGAGTATTTTCTGACTACTGAACTACCCTGTTTCCTGATGATATTCTTTCTTTTATTTCTGTTAGGAATTCATTTCTTTCATTTAATAAAGATCCAAGGTATTTGAATTGATTTACTTTTTCAAAAGTCTGGGTTTCTAATTTTAATTGCTTCATCTGTCTGTTCTTCTCTTATCATAGTCATGTATTTTGTTTTTTGTTTGTTAACTTCCAGCCCTGCTTGTAGTGATTGCGTCTTCTAATTCTATAAAGGATTTTGATATGTCTTTAATACTTTTCCCTAGCAGTGCTGTGTCATCAGCATATGCAAGATACTGAAGGGGTTTATTTTAGAGAGTGCCCCTTTTGGTTGTGGGTCTTGGGTTTCCCTCAGAAAGTATCCTGTTATTGTTCCTCGGGTGTTAATATGCATGCTTCTTATAACTCTCTAATGTGGCGTCAAATAGCACACAGACAGTGAGTCTCCTTGTCTTAGGCCTCGTCTAATCTTAAATTGAGTTGACTATTCTCCTTGAGCCTTAATTTTGCTTTTTGAGTTGTTCATTGTTACATGTATCAGTCTTGTCATTTTTTTGGGTATGCCAAACTCCTGCAGAGTCTCATATTGATATTTTCTTTTGATGCTGTCATAGACCATTTTATAGTCCACATAGAGTTGATGTACTGGGATATTATATTCACAGAGTTTCTCTAATAGGCATCTTTTGGTGAAAATCTGATCAGTCGTTGATCTGTTTTGCCTGAATCCACATTGGTAATCACCTAGTGTTTCTTCAGTGTACTGTTGTAGTCTTTGAAGCTAAAAATACTGACGATTTTGTATCAAACATTTAATAAGGAGATTCCCCTGTAGTTTGTGCACTGAAGTTTGGAGCCTTTCTTGTGTATTGGGGCTATTAATGCTGTTTCCCATTCTGTTGGGATTTTCTCTTGTTGCCAAATTTTAGTCATAAGTTTATGTATCTGAGTGTGTAGTTCTCTTCCATATTTAATAAGTTCCACTGTGATGAGGTCTTCTCCAGGGGCTTTGTGGTTTTTCATATAAATAATTAATTCTTTAGTTTCTCCTAGAGTTGGGGAGCTAATAAAAGGGTCTGGTCCTCCATGTGGTGGTTGGTAATCTTCATCTTGTCTATTGTCTGCATTCAGTATGTCCTAAAAATATTCAACCCACCTCTCCAGTACTTAACTATTTTTCATGATTAATTCTCCATTGTGGCTCTCACACATTTGCTGTCTGGCTTGGTATGCATTCTTTTCATCTTTTATCTTCATGTATACTCCTCTCATGTTTCCCTCTCTTGATAAATCTTCTATTTCTTTTAGTTAAGCTTTTTCCCATTCCCTCTTTTTCTTCCTACACATTTTTGTGGCTTACCTTCTGGCTTCCTTGTATGTTTGTGTTGTCTTTCTGGTTTCCCTTTGTAACATGATCATTCGTGCTTTGTTCCTTTCTTTTACAGTCTCTTTGCATTCGTTATCAAACCAGCCTAGACTAGTTTGCTGGAATCCTACTACTTTTTCTGCTGATCTTTTCATTGCATTTTTTATCCTATCCCACTGTTCATGTATGTTGTTTTCCCTGTTCACTTCCTCCTGTGATGCTTCTAGCTATGCTTCTACTTCATTTTGGTAATATTTTGCAGTTAGTGGGTCTTTGGTAAGCTTTTGGTAATCGTATAGCTTCTCTCTTTGATTACAGCCATCGTGAATTATGCTTATTCTCTGCTTATATTTAATCCTTAAAAGTTGAAGGTCAGAGTCTGCATCTGCTCCTCGATAGCTTCTTACATCTAGTATGTCTGATCCATGCCTCCGATCAATTAGAACATGGTCAATTTTGTTGTGGGTGATTCCATCTGGACAGTTCCAAATAAATTTATGTATATTTTTTTCAGGAAACTTGGTTCTGCTGACTCACATCCCTTTTCCTAAAGCAAAGTCTTTGCAAAATTCTTCATGCAGACTCTCCTTGCCAATAGTCTGCATGAACACCTTTTCTTTTCCTATTGTGTTATTTAAGTCTCCAATCACTATTTTAATATCATGTTGTGGTGCCTCTTTGTAGATCTTTTCTAGTGTCTCATAAAAGGATTCTTTATACTGATCTTTAGTGTCTGTGATGGGTGCATGTACATTTATGAATGTTTTTTTGAACATTTTTCCTCGCACACACAAAGAACACAATCTTTCATTTTCTGGTTTGAAGCTTATGTCTACGCTGACTGCTTCTTTTTTCATGTCAAATCCTGTTTCTAGAGTGTTGGTGTTGTTACCACTATAAAATATGGTGTTCTGTTTTGAGGATGTCAAAATTTTTCCATCGAATTTCTTTCAATGCAGCAATAGATATTTATATTTAACCAGTTGATTTACAAGGTTGGCTAAGGCTCCTGCTCTAAACAGGTTTAGTACATTCCAAGTCGCAATCCAAAAATCATGTCTATATCCATGGATAGGTCCATTTCCATAGGTATTATTCCAATTTTATTCTGTTGATTGGCTTTCGTAACGTTAATTTTTTACATGTCTGGGTTGTTAGCCCTGCACATAACCGTCTGTGGGGTTGCCCCTTACAGCTCTCTGGATAGCTGCCTTAGTTTTTGGGTAAGGTTCCCTAGCCTTTGTGGATCCCTCCACTTCCTACAAGGCAGTAGGTTCTGATTTTGGTCTGCCCCGGGTATTTTATTTCCCCGGTACCCTCCATATCAGGTGGGCTTTCCCCTATCCGCCACCTGGGGAGGTGCTCGATGGAAGATCATTATCTCCACACGAGAAATAGACTGGTCAAGATTACAATAATTGTTGCTGTCCTTCTTGCTATTTAACTAATGAGAATATGTGTGTCATTTTTAATCATAAACAAAGCTTTACATGACAATCACTCTTTTTTGATGTTTTTTTTTATTGTTTTTTTTTTTCAAATATTTTTTAGTGAACCGTTATTCTGCAATTTTGATCCCTGCTTGTCCTGGTGCCCTCCATGACCTTGTATCAAACAGTGATCTAGGTCAAATAATTACACATTTTATAAAAGAAAAAAGTAAGTCATGATAATGAGTATTGCTTTCGGCACAATAAGTTTCTTGGACCAGTGAAACCAATATACAATATTTAGATGAATCATTTATAATGGAAATAAAATCTTGCCCAATAAGTATATTTATTTATTCATTCCTCTGGCATTCAAAAGTTTTCTATCTGTTAAAGGGGCCATCCATAAATGACATCACACACCTAAAAGAGGGTGGGGTCCATAAATGACGCCACACGTTGCGGGGTGGGGGGAGGGGGGGTGGAGCATCCATAAATGATATCACACAACTAACGGGTGATGGGGATGTCTCAAATTTGTGACAGTTTTATATGAGGGTTTCCAAATAGTTGGAAATATTTTTATTTAGGTGGGCGTGGAATATGTCAGCGTAATTTCATTTATGGATGGGCTTAAAGTAGTACATTTTTATTTCATCGTTTTTCATTATAATGTTAGATGTCTATTTTCACATTTACAAAAACAAGCCATTTTGATTTTATCTCACATAAGTCATTCAAAGAATGTCAAAATAGGATACAATATATAACCTATGATAATGGAATGTCTATTGATATATTAACTTTTTTTCAAATGCTTCTACTACTAATGAATGAACTCATTTAAAATTGTGGTATTTAAAATATTTATGGGAATTTTTAAAGTGAAACAAGGCAATACCGGTACACAAAAAATACCTTTAAAAAAATAATAGTTTCATTTGGATGAAAAACATTTCTAAGAGGGCTTATCAATATGGGATTATCACACTTTTAAGCTTTATAAATTATTGGTAGTTTCTCATATAAAATTGTGTTGATTTGTTTCATTCCAGAACCAATCTGTGCTGTAGGTCATGGGGTGGCAGGCCTGTTCTCAGCCAGGAGAGAAGATGGTAAATCATGGTGGCTAGAGGAGTATTGCCTAACAGCTGTTAGTTTTATTTTTTTTTAGTATGTTCTAATTAGAGATTTTAAATCATGAATATATTTCTGACTATCAGTGTAGCAACAAAAATTGGTTTTAAAAAAATCCAGTGTAATTTTGGATTCTTTCTTTGTTGAAAATTACAAAAAGTCACAACATTATTTTATTATTTTATAAACTAGAAAATATGACACATTGTTACAAGGGTAGTAATGGTAGGCTATAATTTGGGGGCTCTTATACTCACTCTTATGGCTCACAAAAACAATCATGTCCAAACAAAGAATAACTTTCAATTAACTTAGTAGTTTTAATGTACTCAGATGACTGCCACTTGCAATAATAAGTATTTTGTTTAATTGGATCATAAGAATTAGAATATTTCTCCTTCAAGCATAATAAAAAATAGGGCTGTAATTTAGCAAGGATTTCAACATAATGATAATAAGTTTGCCGGCAACACAAAATCCTTTCTAATAAGGATATTATATACCATGCTTTTAATCATTCATCGAAGTAATGATTTTTCTTTTTAAAAGTCATAATAGCATGAAAAAACATGTTGATGACGTGGGGAAACAAGAAAGCTGCATTTTAACTAAATAAGAATTTATGTTCTACTTTGTACTCAATTTTCACTGCCTATGTATAAAGGAGTGCTTCAGCTTAGTTGAGACTTTGGTTCCCCAGACAATCTTCATCTCATGATCATCAAGATTTTAGTTTTTAAGTTTTAAATTATCATTTTTTTGTGTGCATATTTCAATAACTTTATACTTTTTGGCTCTTACCTTAAAGCCTTCATTATTTGAAGTGGGACATCTGCCAGAATTTACTACAATGCCTGTGATACCTGAAGATTTTATTAAAGATCATGGTGGAAAATATACAGGTACATTGTGTAACAGCTACGTTGAATCGCAAAAAAAAGGAGTTTGCATTATTTTAAACATTTCCATTTATGAAAGAAAGCTGAAGTTTAATATCGTCATATTTTTCACATGGCAAAAATCTTTCCTTTAAATACATGCATGCAAGATAAGTTGCTGAGCTTCTCCTGTCTGTTGCAGCCACAGAGCCCGATGGCGTCCATGTTGTCATTGACAGAACAGTCATCACTGGACAGAACATTCAGTCAACTGTTACAGCGGTACAGAACCTCATTCTGATGTGTAGTCAGAAGTAGGTCACAAAGAACTGAGCCATCGTGTACTTATAATTCTCTCCCTGCTCTCTCAGATGTAGGTCATGCTACAGAAATCCAATATAGGTTCTCCCATCCATCCTTTACCTTATTTTTTTTTTCTTTAACATTTATAATAATTACCAATACTTTTTTTGGAAGCGATATCAGATATTCTCGGGAGTCGACTGCTGCTTTCTTTTAATTATAATGCAACCTTTCTCAACCTTTTTAATGTCAGTCTGGCAAAGTCATTTTTTTTTAAATTGTTTAAATTAAATTCTTTTAAATCAGTTTCACTGAAGCATTTAATGCATAATTAAAAACTGATATGCTCAATAACTGAGAAAGAAATTTTGTTTCCCTTGGATACATTTTTTTTTGGTGAAAAAAAATGCTATTTTTTTTAAAAAAATGATTGTAAAGTTGAAGTAGATATTTCAAATAGGCTTTAGACTATTTATCCATCCTTTTTAAATACAAGACTTTGTCAGCTCTTATGTAAACAAGGATGATTTAAATGTCAATTAGCTGACAGCACAAGATACAAGGTATTAATATTAATATACTCAACATATAATTTGCCAGTTGATTGAGACTTGGAATAGTTCAAACTATGTTTTACTACTTGTTTTTGTTTCAATTGTCCATAATCTAATTGCATGAAGTTGAAGCATTGTAGAGCATTATCTCAACGCACCGTTTGCGTGACTCAACCACCCAAATCAAAGCTGTCAATTTATTTTGAATCATCCAGTTGCAAAGTGGTTGAAAGTGGGTGTCAACTTTGATCCCTCAATACCTTTAAAATCCCACCTGGCTACTTTGATCCCTCAATACCTTTAAAATCCCACCTGGTTACTTTGATCCCTCAAGACCTTTAAAATCCCACCCGGTTACTTTGATCCCTCAATACCTTTAAAATTCCACCCGGTTACTTTGATCCCTCAATACCTTTAAAATTCCACCCGGTTACTTTGATCCCTCAATACCTTTAAAATTCCACCCGGTTACTTTGATCCCTCAATACCTTTAAAATCCCACCCGGTTACTTTGATCCCTCAATACCTTTAAAATCCCACCCGGTTACTTTGATCCCTCAATACCTTTAAAATCCCACCTGGTTACTTTGATCCCTCAAGACCTTTAAAATCCCACCCGGTTACTTTGATCCCTCAATACCTTTAAAATCCCACCCGGTTACTTTGATCCCTCAATACCTTTAAAATCCCACCTGGTTACTTTGATCCCTCAATCCCTTTAAAATCCCACCCGGTTACTTTGATCCCTCAATACCTTTATAATCCCACCCGGTTACTTTGATCCCTCAATACCTTTAAAATCCCACCCGGTTACTTTGATCCCTCAATACCTTTAAAATCCCACCCGGTTACTTTGATCCCTCAATACCTTTAAAATTCCACCCGGTTACTTTGATCCCTCAATACCTTTAAAATTCCACCCGGTTACTTTGATCCCTCAATACCTTTAAAATCCCACCCGGTTACTTTGATCCCTCAATACCTTTAAAATTCCACCCGGCTCTGTAAGCTTCTCCCTTACTCTCAATTTGCTCTCATCTATATTGCTGTATCAACATATTATACGTATAAACTTTCAAAGGGGATTTTAGGTAACTTTTTATTTTAAAATTTTTGTTTTCAATTTGTCAGTGAAAATAATCTATAACTTAAGAGGGAACTAAAAAAAATCTATCAAGATTCATATTTTTTCCCTTAGCTTTCAAAGAAGTTCTGGTCCAAGTAAAATTCTTAAGAAATCAAAATTATATTTTAATAGTAATGAGACGTGACTGAATAGAAATTTCACAATAATTTATTTATTGAATGCATTTTAAAATATTTTAACCAAAGCAACTAGTTAGCAATTATTCCACTGACATTATGCCTAGCACTACTTATTTCTATTGGACTGAGTGGAGACTCGCAAACTGCAAATAATTAAAACATTTGGGTAACATCCGTTTTCAAAAGATATTATTTTTATTTTTTTATCAAATCATTTTGCTTTTCAGCTGAAATTGTTGATTCTTCAGAGGTAATTGATTTAAGACAAACTAGCTTACTTTTAACTATTTTAATATATACATATATAGAGATATAAAGGTGCTTTGGCTTAAACTTAAAGTAGTTTTAATTAGATTTTTTTATGTTTGAATGGCACGCGTCCCACTTGATAGATTAATGGACCATATTTTTCTGTTTGGGTAATCTCCATTAGCCTTCAGCTGTAGGGTTTGTAGCCCAAGACAGCAAAGGATAGTTGTTGGAGGTTTGCCTCTCTTAAATGCACCAGCATTTGAGTCCCAACTAACGAGGCGTCTGTTGTTGTTTTTTTGGATTAGTTTTTTTTGGTCTTAGTATTTTTGGGAGTTTGAACTCTTGTCTTGTCCAGGTGTTGACAAACACATTAAAATCAATGGTGGCACAGAATTCGGACCACAATATTAAGTTCAAACTCACAGACCCAGCTTGCCGTCCTTTTACAGGGAACAAAAAGGTTGAATTCTCTGGACAACAGACTGTTATTCCAGGATTTATTTTCCTTAAAAGTTCCTCTTGAAAACACTTCAACATTAATTATGAAAACTTTCCATGCATAGCCGGCTTTGCCAAAGACGACCTGACATTTCTCAAGTCACCCCTAAAGGTCTTTCAGCTTAAACATTACTTGTGTCCAGACACTGTTTTCAGACTTGCTTTACAACAGCTGCAGTTTTATGCTGGGATAATTGCAGCAAAGCCATCTTTTGGGTCCAGATGTTCTTGTTACATAATTACAGGCTCAATATTAAAATGTTACCCATGTAACCGCACAGACTTTTGCTTCTTCTTGGAGGATAGACCCCCATCTAGTAGGACTGACCCTATCTAGTATATTGTAATAATGCATCACATTCACCTATACTCTCATAAACTTGCTTATCCACAAAGAACTATCGTCCAATGAGATTCAAACTCAGGGCTGAATATGAACTTTTTTTTTTTCATCATGGAACATATTGATAAAAATCAATCAACCTCATTGGTTACAATACCTTGACAAACACATGCACTGACTTAATTATAGAGCCTCCATTAATATTTTCTTTTCCCTAGCTTGAGAACTTTCCCTATTGAGCTTATTGATATATATTCAGTTACAGCACTCTTTTGTTCTTAAGATTACATTTGCTTTTAGGAATAATTTTATTTTTTATATATATATATTTTTTTTTTACACTAAGTAAATGATGGTAGAGTGACAAAGCCTGGAAGTAATTTAATGCTAATATTATCTTTTCTCTTATACAGTGTAGCATGTTTGCTTAACCTTTCATCCTTATGCACAATACCATAGCAATGTGTCCACAGCTGATGTACAGCTGTACCTCGTAATAACGGCTACTCACTAAATGAAGTTTCCCAGTAATGGCGCTCTTAATTCTCCGTCCGCTATACTCACCACTACTCGAGTGTTGTGCAGAAGGATATGCACACATGAACGAACAGAGGCTATTGCCAAACTGTGTTGCCATGTATCGCAATGCATGTGGTCAGTCTGTTTACAGTCTTCATGCATTCTGCATCCATCTCACAAACTTTCCAAACTTTATATTATATATTAATTTTTAATTCAATTCTTTGCGCTCAGAAATTTTATCATTTGAAACCCTGCCAAAAGGGAAACAACTTCACCCCTACTGCAGACAGGTTTTAAAAAAAAAAATGTAAACAAATCAATTTAACAGTATATTTATATGAAATTAATTTATTTACATTCATAATTGGTTCCCTTATGTGTTGTATAACATTATTTCCCAATGGTTTTGTTTTAATTCTTAAAAGTCAATTTATGAAGAATTACTTGAATACTAATGATCATAACCATAAAACATAAATTATAAACTGTGCGTACTAATTATGTATTTAAAGGTAAACATTGTGTAAATTTCCCTTTCTATCATTGTTTTTATAGTTATTTTTATTGCACACTTAATATTTATTAGTACATAGTATGTATTTTCGCTTGCTGCACTTGTGAGGCAAAAAAAAAGTCTTAATTTACTTACCTACAATTTTGACTTAACAGCGAGGTTTTGGTTCCAATTATGCCGTTACTGCGAGGTACTGCCGTATATGGCTGATATATTAATATTTAAATTGACTTTAATTTTATGAAAGTAAATAGCAAACAGTTAAAATCTTTTTACCTAATAACAAACAATTTTTTAAAAAATTACATAAATTACAATCAGTCAAAAAACATTTTACTTAAATAACAAAAAATTAAAACATTTTACCCAAATTACAAACAGTTAAGTACATTTTAGCAAAATAGCAAACAGTAAAAAAACATTTGACCTAAACAGCAAACGGTTACACATGACTCTATAGCTTGAATAAATGTTTCTTTTCTTCTTAATGTGTTATATTAGTTAAGTAAAAATGGTTGTCTTATCTGAGTGCATAGGACTTGACTTTCTATTCCCAGCCATGAAAAATATATTTCATGTTTCATGTAGTGAGCTGTAATTAAATTGTAATTATGATATTAAAATTACAGGGTGATCTTCAAAAATAAATTGATATGATTTATCAAGGGATATAATTGATATATTAAAAATATGGGGGGCTATAATTACGGTTACTGCTACTCAGTTTTGTAAAATTTGAACTCTGTTAATTAAATCAGCCTTAAATTATTTTACTGTAAACAAGTTTGATTCAACTAGTTCTGCTTTATTGTCAACAGACAAGTGAAATCTGCCATCATCTCAACAAATGCCAAGGTGATGTGAGTTTAATCATTCCAAGGACTTGTACTTTCATCATTTGCTGGATCATTCACCATAAGCAGACTTATTTGTTTCTGAAGTTGAATATTGAAAATAAAAACTAATGGTGGCTTTTTTCCCCGAAAAGCACAAAAAAACATGGGGAAAGTTCGCAACATTACTACAAGAACGGCGTACGCTACAACCATTTAATTTTATGATTGGAATATCAAATCATATTTCAATTTCAGACCACCTGTACCACACTTTAAAAAAAACACCAAATTTTCAATGTACATTATTTATTAAAATATCTGTTTCCATTCTCTTACATAGCACAAGCATGAATGTAATGTGGCATGAAGTGGTAAAATCACATTACACATTTTAATGAAATAGACAATGGTGTTGTTATTTAGCTGAATTATTTTCTAATATTATCTCAGTCTTTTTTTAATGGTAATTCTTATCTTGCAGTTGCAGTAGCAATTTTTGTTTGTTTGTAACGAGTTTTTTTTTTTTTTTTTTTTTTTTAATAAAGGGACCCCTTTTTTTTTTTTTTTTTTTTTTTTTTTTTTTTTTTTTTTTTTTTTAAATAAGGGATCACCTGTTTAATAATCTAACTTAATAATCTTAAATTTCCATTTACGGATTGTATTTAGATTTTATTACAAAATTTGCGCTGTGTGCAAAATAAAATATCTTCTAATCACTCTGCTTTAGTTTAAGGCTCAGGGGCTCACAGAAATATGTTAACTATTTAATGGCATCTAAAAACATTCAATAACTTGAATGATGTTTGCATTGATTAGATGAGCCCTACTCATTTTAACAAGCTGGTTGAATTTTTTTTAAGGCAGCCTTTTAATTAAAAGTGTCATTGGAGACTGTGTTAAATTCTTGATGATGTGTAAATGTGGTATGTGAGAGGATGAATGCCGTTGTAGTTGTATGTTTTAGAACTTTAAATTGAGAAATGTAATGCTGGTGTTTGCTGTGCAATCATTAATTGATGATGAAGATACATGGAGCTGTTGTGATGGTATCCTCACTTAATAATAAATAAACATACTAAAACAATAATTATACTTGATGCTTGTTTTGTGTTGTGTGCAGACATCTTTGTGTGTGGTTCCATGTGTTTGTGTGTGGTGTCATGTGTTTGTGTGTGGTGTCATGTGTTTGTGTGTGGTTCCATGTGTTTGTGTGTGGTTCCATGTGTTTGTGTGTGGTGTCATGTGTCTGTGTGTGGTATCATGTATTTGGGGATGTTTCTGCTTTCATGTTTGTAGATGGCTGGATGTGTACGGGATGTTAGGGGGTGCTTGTTTGTGGATGGATGTGTTTTTAGATCTTTTGGGATGATTGTGGATGGGTGCTTGTAATGTTTGTGAACGGGTGTGTTTGTAATGTTTGTAGATTTTTTTGTAATGTGTGTAGATGTTTGTGGATGGGTATGCTTGTAATGTTTCTGGATGGATGTGTTTGTAATGTTTGTAGATGCATCGGTTGTTTTTTGAATTACAATGATGTGTTTGTTTGGTTAAACCTAAACTTATAACACATGGCAACTGTGTAACACATGGCAACTGTATAACACATGGCAACTGTGTAACACATGGCAACTGTGTAACCCATGGCAACTGTATAACACATGGCAACTGTATAACACATAAATAATAATAATAATAAAGTTCATTTCAAAAACACGCTTCATCCCCAAAGGCTCGAAGCGCGGTACAAAGTCAACAAAAAATATCTATAATTCACCACATTTAAAACAAACGCAACACTACGAAAACTAATTACAAGCATACAATATCAAAGTCTTTCTAGCCATTTCAACCCGGAGCAACACAGCAACACATGGAAAAGAAGGTAGACAATCATCCCAGAAGGTATTTGCGAAATAGATATGTCTTTAGATCGGTTTTAAAGGACTCCAGTGTCTGGTTGTTTCTAAGATCGACAGGAAGGGCGTTCCAAATTGTTGGACCAGCAAATGCGAAAGTGCGCTTTCCGTAAGTCTCAAGGCAAACACGTGGTGTCGAGAGTTTGCCACTATCGGATGAGCGGAGCTCTCTAGTGGGTACATAAGGCGTCAGCAGCTCTTTCAGATAGGACGGCGCCAGGTCATGTAAGCAGCGGTAGCACAAAGTTGCGATTTTGTACTCCATGCGAGCACGCACTGGCAGCCAGTGCAGCTCTCTCAGAAGTGTTTTTGCATGGTCAAACTTGCGTTTGCGGAGAACAATGCGAGCCGCATTATTCTGTGCTATTTGAATTTTATCCAGGAGTGTAGCTGGAAGACCCACCATGAGAGCATTGCAATAGTCCATGCGTGATAGCACAAATGCAGACATCAGCCTCTTTGTTGCATCAATTGTTAGGAAGGGCCTGATGTGACTAATCCTGCGCAGCTCTAGAAAAATCGCCTTGCATAGCATGTTAATATGACTTTCAAAAGTTAGTCTTCCATCTAGGTAGACACCCAGGTACCGCACTGTTTGAGCTAACTCAATACGCACACCTGAGAGAGTAATGGATGTAGTGTTATTTGCAGATTTTTGCTTCTGAGCGGTCGCGATGGGGAGCAGCTCAGTCTTATCATCATTTAATTTGAGCTTGTTTATGGTCATCCAGTGCTTAACCGACTCCATTGTCTTCTGTGTCATACTGAGCAGCTGAGGGAACTGAGAAGGGAGCACGGATTGATGAAGTTGTGTATCGTCCGCGTACATGTGATACAACATGTCAAACTGCCTGATCTCTGTGTAACCCAGGGCAACTGTAACCCATGGCAGCTGTGTTACACATGGCAACTGTGTAACCCATGGCTGCTGTGTAACACATGGCAACTGTGTAACACATGGCAACTGTGTAACCCATGGCAACTGTAACCATGGCAGCTGTGTAACACTTGGTAACTGTGTAACACATGGCAACTGTGTAACCCATGGCAGCTGTGTAACAAATGCAACTGTGTAACCCGTGGCAGCTGTGTAACACTTGGCAACTGTGTAACACATGGCAACTGTGTAACACGTGACAACTGTGTAACACGTGGCAACTCCTTAACACTTGGCAACTGTGTAAATAAAAACGGATACAAGCTCCTGTATCCGTTTTTCTCATCCTGCATCCTTAATATTGTTTTATCTTTTATTTCATCCTCCTGTCATATTTCTTTTTCTGCTTAATTCCTTTTGTCACACTAAACACTTGAATGCTTCTACTCCCATTTACACCTATCATTTATCTCACTTGTGGTTGAAAATTGAAACTAGTTATGAAAGCAAGAACCACAAACATAACCCTTGGTTGAAACTAGTTATGAAAGCAATCAATATAAAAAATAACCTTTGTCCTTTTATTAAAACAATCAATATAAAAATAACCCTTGGTTAAAACTAGTTATGCCAACAATCAATATAAAAATAACCTTTGGATAAACTAATTATGAAAGCCATAATTATAAAAATAACCTTCGGATAAAACTAGTAATTACTAAAACAATCAATACATTAATAAACTTTTATGGGATCGAGTGCAATTATTTTTTTGTTTAAAGTTGTGTGTAACTACCTCTAGGTTTTATTGTGACAGCATAAGTTTAGACTATAAATAAATTTCACGTTAATCAAAATATCAAAATAATGTGTACTGGGAACCACTATGTTTTAATTCCGTTCCCCTTTTTGTTTAAAAAAAAAAAAAATGTCTTGCTTTACCGTTAAATATAATGTTTAGGTTATCGGCTTACAGCGCCGTGATAGGTTTAACAATGGTCCCTGTAAAGAAGCTGCTCTCAACCTGTGGGTCGCGAACCCTTTGGGGGTCCAACAACCCTTATACAGGAGTCGGCTAAGATCATTGGCCCATTAGGAAAACACATATTTGTTAATTAGCAACGAAAATGATTTTGATGGTCGGGTATCACCACAACACGAGAAAGTGTATTAAAAGGTCACGGCATTAGAAAGATCGAGAACCACTGCTCTAAAGACAACTGAATTTGACTATTAACTAAGCGTGCTGTCAGAGCCGTAGCGAGAGTGTTTCGCGCCCGGGGACATGATCCATTTTAAAGCGCCCCCCTTTTCATTTTTCAACTCCCAAACCCATTATTTTCATTAATAAAATATTATCAAAGCACATTTTGGCGCCCCTAACTAGCTGGCGCCCGGGGAAATCTGTCCCCCCTACTCCCCCCTTTGCTACGCCTCTGAGTGCTGTTAAGATGTCCTGCTACCCCCCCCCCCTGTCCTGGGGCGTATTCTTTGGTCACTTGTAAATCTATTAAGTTTATTGACAAATATTGAATACTTCACCGAACAATTATAGTGGCTGCAGAAAATAATCGGGAAATGTGTTTGGAAGTACTAGGAGGCCTACAATTAGTACTATTGTTCGTCCTTTAGCACACGAAGATGACCAATGGTATATTCGGCGATTCGGTACAGGTCAGTCCCATTTGTAGAAGTAGGCCTACGATCAGCTAGTGTGTGTGTGTGTGTGGGGGGGGGGGGGAATTTACAACAACGAAAGAAACTACTGTTCATAAAACACAACTGTAAGAATTAGTCAGTACATTTCTTACAACTAGATTTATTTCATTAAGTGCGGGACACAATTCGGATCGTGATCAATTACATCTTAACCACAACCAAACAAAAACATGACGTGGTCAGTTTAAACATGGGGTAAACTAAATATGCTCAAATTGCCGCACTTTAAATCAATCGAGTGTCTTCAGAGCGTTTCACGGAAGTACATATGCTAGAAACAATATAGGGTACCATCTCTGTTTAATGGTATGCTTTACTTTTGAGTGTATTTGTTGTTGTTATTTTTTTTTACACACTACTCTACCTCTAAACGAGTTTTGGGAAAGCTTCGAGAGTATCGGTCGATTGAAGTGAAGGCCATTCACAGCGCGCTTTGACCCCGTCCGTGTGGCTCGGAATGAACAAGAAAAAGGGGGGGGGGAGGGGGGGGAAGAAGAGACAGATGGTCATTTGCCGGCTCGTGTATCTAATTAAGTCGGCCTCGGTTTTGACTCATTTTTGACTGCTGTGTTGACCAGTGCCCGGTGGATGGTCTCCTTGTCTAGCGAGTTAGAAAATATGACAAATAATGAAATACTATTTGAGCATGAACGCGGACTTCAAGTTCAAGACATCAGTAGGCGGCCTGTGGGCCTATATGAAAAGTCAATGTTACGAATACCAGTCAACGTTACGAATACCAGTCATGTTACGAATACCAGTCAACGTTACGACTACCAGTCAAAGTTACGACCACCAGTCACATTACGACTATCAGTCATGTTACGACTACCAGTCAACGTTACGACTACCAGTCAACGTTACGACTACCAGTCAACGTTACGACTACCAGTCAACGTTACGGATACCAGTCAACGTTACGACTACTAGTCATGTTACAAATAGCAGTCAACGTTACAACTACCAGTCAACGTTACGACTACCAGTCATGTTACGAATACCAGTCAACGTTACGAATACCAGTCAACGTTACGACTACCAGTCATGTTACGAATACCAGTCAACGTTACGACTACCAATCATGTTACGACTACCAGTAAACGTTACGACTACCAGTCATGTTACGACTACCAGTCAACGTTACGACTACCAGTCATGTTACGACTACCAGTCAACGTTACGACTACCAGTCATGTTACGAATACCAGTCAACGTTACGACTACCAATCATGTTACGAATACCAGTCAACGTTACGACTACCAGTCATGTTACGACTACCAGTCAACGTTACGACTACAAGTCTTTTTTACGACTACCAGTCAACGCTATGACTACCAGTCAACGTTACGACTACCAGTCATGTTACGACTACCAGTCATGTTACGACTACCAATCAACGTTACGACTACCTGTCATGTTACGACTACCAGTCATGTTACGACTACCAGTCAACGTTACGACTACCAGTCATCAATTATCTATACTAATAAAAGGCAAAGCCCTCACTCACTCACTCATCACAAATTCTCCAAATTCCCCGGTACATAGAAGCCTGAAATTTGGCAGGCTTA